AGGACTAAGCTTCCTTGACATCCACTCACTCATTCCTTCAACTGATTTTTGCCCCACTACTCTGTGTCAGACATGCTTCTAAGTTGAGGCTGCAGCAGTGAACAAAACTGACTAAGAGGGAAGATTCACTCTCACAGCTCTTGGGGTCAGGAGTTCAGCACAGATGCTGCAAGTTTGTACCTCTTATCTGTGTGTGTGTGTGTGTGTGTGTGTGTCCCTGCCCGCATGCACAACCAGTCAGAGCATCGAATCTTCATGATTCTGGTGGCTGGTGAAGGATTAGCATGTGCCACACACAGTGTCAATCTTGAGACTCAAGGCAGTAGTTAAAAGAGAGGTGTAGAGAGCACACCTATAACCCTAGTACTCAGGAGGTTAAGGCAGGAGGACCACCGCCAGTTGGAAGCCAGCCTGGGCTCAATAGTGAGACTTTTTCCTATAGAACATCAAGGAAGAGGAAGAAGGGAAGAAAAGGTACCCCCCATTTTTGTTAGAACTAGGTTTAAGCCCCACAGCTCCATGGACTTGGGGGATGGCAACCTGCCTTAGCGACAATCTAACCAATGTGAAGACAGAGCCAATAAGAAGTCAGACAGCAGACACTGCTCAGGTCTCGGCAACAGACAGAGCCTAAATCTGAAAAGCCTGGGTTTCTCAGGCCAACAAACTAATTTATCTAGTTATCTTGCTTAAGTCTTGAACTTTTTGGCAACTACAATAGCCTCAGGTAAAACACAAGTTATCTTTTGTATAAAAGACTATCAAGACTGAGTAAGCCAGAACCTCTTATAAAGATGGCCTCCCTACCCAGGGATAAGGGTCCCAGCACGGGTATAGCCATGCAGATCCTCCTCTAACTCAGGGATCTACTGATGAAGACCTGGGTTAGATCCCATAGTGAGCAGTGGATGCCCACTCATTCATTCATTTCTTCATTCATTCATTCATTCTTTCCTCCTCCTCCTCCTTCTCCTTATTCTCCTTTCTCTTCCTCTTCTTCTTCTTGAAACAGGGTTTCTCTATATAGCTCTGGTTGTCCTAGAACTCAATTTGTAGACCAGGCTGGCCTCAAACTCACAAAGATCTACCTGCCTCTGCCTCCCCGAGTGCTGGGATTAAAGGTGTGCACCACCACTACCTGGCCCTGTTTCTTTTCTTTTTGGAGAGCTCTAGTCTTCTACAAAGACAGAAAGCTACTTTTTCTTCAGTAACAGACTTTCCTCTATCCCATGACATGCGGATACAATTAGAAATTGATAAACAAACAGGCCAAGGAGGCCCAAAGTGTGCCCCACATTTGAAGAAAACTTTCACACTTTATAATTATTTTCTTTTCTGCCACAGGATTTTATTTCCACTGAGGCATTAACAGCAATACTTCTTCCCCGAGGAATGTGACCTTTTGAACTACATCTCAAAGTATAAAGGAAATTAAATAAATTCAGATTTTTTTCACCCTCTTCCTTTTAGGCAGGAGAGGCAAACTAAAGCTGGTTTCCTGGTATTATCCACGAAAGCAAACTCTCCATGTGCCAGGGGCGATAAGAAGCGCTCTGTGAACAGAGGCTAAGTTAGGAGAAGGCAGCAGAGGCCACAGGACCAGGGAGTTGGCTGCCATTGTACAGCGGAAGTTCCTAGATCTGGGAGAGCAACTTCACAGGCTATTTCCTCTGGGCTCATGAGAAAGCTGCCTGAGCTCCTAAGTCTTGCCCCCCTAAGGGTTTCCTGTACTTTTTTCACCCTAACTGCCTGAGGGCTATCTCTGTTCAACAATGCAGGGGAGATCTGAGACACAGGTTAGTCATTCAACATGCATATACATTCTAAACAGTATGTTAGACACAGTGAACATACCAAATTTTTATCTGTCAGTCATTAAAAAGAATGTGATGTGTTTTTCTAAAGCTCAACCTGATTTGGACAGTGAGACAGGAAGTTATTACCCAAACCCCCAGTGTCTGAAGGAAGGCAAAGGGTCTTATCAAAACATGGTATTTGGGACGAATACAGAAGTTCAGAGAAGGCTCCAGGGAACGCTGAGTTAGCCTGAGGGATAGACAGGAAGCCATCGGTGGCTAAGAAGGAAAACCAATGTGACCAGTGGCTACTTGGGAAACACAAAGCAGGATAGTACATCTCGGTGAGAATCGGGAAATTATGCAGATGTGATCCCCAGCCCAGTGATTCTTCTCTCTGTTCATCTGTAAGCTGCATCTATGCTTTGGAAAAGCCTCTGTGTCTTTCAGAGATGAATTTACTATTAATGACACTCTAGACTTAAACAGTCACGTCTGATGAACACAGTCAATGCTTGAGCATGGGAACACTGATGGGGATGGAGAAAGTAGGTGTGCTGAAAAGGGGCATTACACGCTTTCTTGAGTAACTGATCAGCTGGCTTTCAAGCCAATTCCAAAAGGGAAATAACATTAAGAAAGAGCAAACAGCAAAATCTATGAAACAGGAAAATTACTTCACTTTGTCGTACACTGAGACCTGCTCAGAAGGCATGCCTGAGCTCATCCTTCGAGGACGAACAGGAACTTTCTAGACAGATGGCAGCATAAACCTGGAAGATTTGCTTTAGAACGGTTCCCTGTGGTCACAGCTCCCCGGAGTTGGAAGATGAGATTGAAGGCAGACTGCATGGAGGTGCTGGTCAGTTCGCCTCTCACCAGTTACCATGTGAGTTTCTGGGATGGAATGGGAGAACTCAGAACAAGATACACCATGGAAAAATGACACACTTTTCTTGTAAATTTTGGTACCTGCCACACCAACATCTGGCAGTATTAGCTTTCTTTTAAAATTAAGCTTGGTAACTGTTTCTGTACCTTATTGTGGTGGTTAGAGTAAGAATGGCCCCTAAAGACTTAGTCATCAGGGACTGGCACTACTTGAGAAGGTTTAGGAGGTGTGGCCTTGTCAAAGGAAGTGTGTCACTGCAGGTGGGAGGAAGGATTTGAGGTTTCAAAACCCAAGCCATGTCCAGTGTCTCTCCCTCTCTTCCTGATACCTGTGAGTCTATATAGGTCTCTCGGGTACTTTTCAAGAACCATGTCTATGTGCCATCATGCTCCCTACCATGATAACTGACTAAATCCCTGAAACTATATGCCAGTCCTAATTAAATGCTGTGGTCATAGTGTCTCCTCACAGCACGAGGGCAATAACTAAGGCATTTATGTAGCCACCAAAGAGTAAAGCAACTTGAATACCTTCAACAGCAACCAGAGAAAGGCTCTAGAAATGACTGACTGTTCTCCCCACATTTAGACAGAAACATATTACTTTGAATATTAGATGGCCTCATTCTTTTATTGTGTTGATCCTGAATTTATTTTACTACATCAACATAAAAGATTCCTAAAAGGAATTATTCTTGGTACTTAAAGTGTACAGTTTATCTATTTGCTAAATATTAAGTGAACTGGGGGTTTTGCTAGGCTTACTTACAGGAACAAGGGGAGGGATTACTCACAGGAATGCATGTAATTCTAGGACCGCTGCATCTCTGAGAAGTCCCGCCCCCATCATAGGTCACAACCTAATAGACTGTATGGCCGAGCCCTGACCTCAGTTAACTTTCCAGCCTCCTATCTACTCAAGCACCCTCTGAGACTGCGTGTATGAAGAGCAGGAGGGTGTGGGTGGTGGAACCCCGGGTGGGTGCACCCTCCCTTCTCTGCTTTCACTGGGGGTGTCAACAAGCCCATTAAGATGACCTAAAATGTCTGTTTGGAAGGACATATAATTTGTTTTGAGTTTCTAAAATTAACATACACATCTAGGTACATATTTATTGAAAATCTACTCCCTCTTCAAACCATCACAGCATAATTTGGGACCTCTAAGAATCAGCTTTAAATTTCTGACTATCCTGCATGAGCTTAGGTTTATCACATTCTGCCCCCAATCACTGCTTTTTTTTTTCCTTAGTAAAAGTAGGTTTCTTGGAACTAGAGAGAGGGCTCAGAGGTTAAAAGCACTTGTTGCTCTTGCAGAGGATCTGGGTTCTCTTCCAAGCACCCACATGGTGGCTCACAGTCATCTGTAATTTTAGTTCCAAGGATTCCTTGCTTTCTGACCTCTGCAGGCACCAGGCATATATGAGGTGTACCTATATACATGCAAGAAAAACACACATATACGTAAAATAAAAACAAATATATTTTAAAGTAAATTTCTTGCCCTTCATACACTAATACCGAGCTCAGTGTTCACTTAACTTTTTTTTTAACCTCTTTGTGGAAAATGTAATATGCACAGTTCTAGGTAACAAAGGAGGAGGTTTGAGACAATTTAATGATAATGTTAACTTTAGAATTTAAAGCCACTGATTCATGGTTATGTCTAACTCATCTAAAAAACCTCAGAACTGGCATCTGTCCAGGTAGAGAGAGAAGCTACACACTGTTTGCCACCTATAGAGTTTATCTCAAAGAGTTTCCACAATTGCTGTTTCCTTCTAATTCCTTCAAGAATTAAATCCCATACCACACTGTGTGTGCAGACCAGCATCTGTCATGACATAAAGAGAGGGACATGTAATAAAATCAGGGCAGTCTTCTGCAGGCCTGGAATCAATCAGAATTAGAGAATCCACGGAGAATCCTGAGTTGGGGAACTCTAGTCTTGACAATTTCCATGACATTTACAAGGACTCAATGGCAACACCTTCTGTGGGGGCAGGTCAACAGTCCACCAGAAACAACATACAATGCCCGGTGCTGAAAATTGAGTTTAATTGCCTGCCATAGTCAACTGTAATCTTTTTATATGACATCGGTGGTGAACAACAACATACATTGGGTTACATTCAAATGACTTTTTAATTTTTAAATACTTATCTTTTCTATTATAGTATAGAGAACAATGAAAATTTAAAATGCTATTTTAGCAAATGTGAGCTTTAAACATTAAAATAACTGCCATACACATTATCAAGCTTTGACGTTCAGCTGTTTCTGTATAATGACGTATGTAAAATCATATCTGACCTGGAAGTACTTCTGACATGGATCTCTGGGTGTCAGCAAAGGTGCAGGAAACAGGTTATAATTTGCGATCTAAAATTGAAAAACAAAAAACATTTGGGAGATTAGAACCTCAAATAACAAAGCATAAAAAGAAACAGGCAAAGAACTAAAAATCCTTCCAAATACCATTCAAATTTTTTAAAAAATTGGTAGATTATGTGATTATGTGCAAATGTTTGCTGACTTTTAACTGCTCTTACAACTTTTCACTTGAATTTCAATTGCCACATAACCGCATTTCCCACATAAAGATCTCTGCCCACTCCAGGCATGTCTGTCTGTCTCAAGCTTCTGATGCTTTTCCATGCCAAACACACACAAAGCAAAAGGCACTAAGGAAAAAAAAATCCAGTGAACTTCGCTTTATAAAACTAAAACCTGACTGAAAGAAAACAAAAAGTGGTAAAAGCCATAATTTTTTTAAAGACCTGGAAAAAAATTACCATTAGAGGAGGGTTACCTATCGGAAGGGCTGCTTGGAGTCATTAAGGAAAAGAAGTCGGCAGAAAGGGGAGCAAAGGATGGGGATACTGTCCAATAAACATCAAACACGTCAGTCCAATGGCAACCTGAAGGGACAGTGGCCCCGCTGTGTAAGACTACAAAGACGGAGAAGCTAGACAATGCAGAAAGCAAGGCGAGGGAGGACACGGGAAAGCAGAAATGTCAACCTTCCTGGCGGGATTAAAAGTCATCAAACATTTTGGAGGGCTACTTTAACATCTGAGGAAATATTCAGTGGGTGGGCCCCACTGCTGGGCAAGTCCACTTCTAAGGATGTATTTGATAGGTAATCTCATCTGGGTTCTACTGCTCAATGGCCATGAAAACCTAGGAATGACCACACCACTGTTCTTGGGTAAGCAGCTGGCTCATTGCATTGAGAGACATCTACACCTCAACAGAGCAACGTGATGCCAACAGTGGAGATGTAGTGGCTAATTGTCTAACATACACACATTAACACAAACACGTATTTTCATAGACGTTTTCCTAAATAGGAGCTGAGGAGATAGGTCAGTAAGTGAAGTACTAGCCAGTGAAGTACTTGCCATAAAAGCATGAGAATTTATTTTGATACACTAAACCCACCAAAAAACAAAACACTCAAACAAAAAACCCTAGGTATGATGGTGTATGATTTAAATCCCTTGCTGGGGAGGTGAAGACAAAAGAACCCTGACAGTCACCCTAGCCCAATTAGCAAACCCTAGTCCCTAATCCTCATAAAACATGTTTCTAAGGACTCACAAGACTGACCTTATGGGTGCTCCAGAGAGCTCACACAGGAGTGGACACGACACAACACACACACACACACACACACACACACACACACACACACACACACACACACACACGCATACACCTCAGAGAGAAAACCAAAGATCTAGAAACAACAGGAAACTGCCTCTACCAACTTAGGTCTATCATAGGGAAATCTGAAGACAGGATTTGTTTTCAGGGAGTCCACCATCAGGAATGTCGCTGGGGATGATAACCCATTACCCTGGGTTAAGAGTGGCACTGCAGGATTCTATCACATAAAGCACAAAAACAGGAAACACCTCTGTGAGTCAAGATGGGGTGCGGGGGCTGGGAGAGGAAGAGCAGTAGCAAGAGAGTGACCCCAGAGATGCTGGTCAAGGTGACGAGGCTCTTCTTGACCCATGGAGAAATCCATCAAGCAGAGCCCTCCTGAGCTGGGTCCTTACGTGTGCATTTCTGTGTGCACACTACATCTCCATGGAAAGTTACAATAAAAAAGGTTTTCTAAAGTAGCCTTCGATTGGAAAATTTCTTATTTTCCAAGATTCTTGCTTTCTAATCTAACCTTTTCCAAACTAGTAACCCTTAATGGGCATAACTCCCAACTTTATGATTCAGATAATGACCTGGCACCTGGTCCGCTGGCCTACAGTACATTTCTAATTATGTTTCCACATGCTGTGGAGCAGGCTCATTACCCCCTTATAATTGAAGGGGTGGGTTTGTTTGGCTGTCCCGAGACACCAGGCAATGCCTCCTCTGTACCCAGTTGTCTCTGGGCTGTGCATCTCAGCTCCTCAGCATTTCACAATGCACTTCGTTTCTTTGTCCTCAGGGTGCCTTGTGAGTCATGCACAGGCAAAGATAAGTGACAGACACTTCTGGAAGATGAACACAGATAAAGCAACACAGGGAGGCGAGGAGAGACTGACTGCATACTTTTATTGTACAGAATCCCTAGAATATTTCTGTTCCCTTGACCTGAACAAAACTCCATCTTTAATGCAGGTAAAAATCAGATACTCTTCTAGTCACTGCCGTTAGCTACACAGCATCTATTACATGCTCCTAACTTGCCCTGTGATCATACACGATTATGATTTATTCACTGCTTGCCCTGTGTCATTATTTCTATTATTATCTATTACAGATCTCCTACTTGTCCATGCTGGTAACTGTATATTATCCATTACACATTGCACGCTTGCCTGTGCCATACATTATGCATATATCAGAGGATACTCTAGTGAACAAAAATACTTATTTCTCTCACAGGACACGCAGCCTAACAGAGAAAGGGGCATAAAGCACTCCAGGTAGAAAGGGGTGTTCTGGAGGCAAAGAACCCATCTCTGGGACATAATGAAGGAAGGAAGAGGGGTTAGGACACCCAGGACAGTGAAGGTCAAGATATACTATGAAGCAGGAACAGGACTCAGGTGAGAAAATGTTTAAATATCCAACCCTACTATCAACAAGACATGCCCTGGCCTTAAAGCTGAAACACAATATTATAGTGTTTTCCTTAGCGGTATGGTGTTTGAAGAGACTGGTCCCCATACACTCATATATATTTGAATACTTGGTCTCCAGCTGGTGGAAGGAGACCAGCAGAGAAGGAGGTGTGGCTTGCTGGAAAAGCTGCGCCACTGGGGGCAAACTTTGACCATTCAAAGTCCACCCTGTTCCCAGTTTGCACTCTCACTTTCTCTCTTGGCTTCATGCTTGTGGATCAGATGCAAGCTCTCAGCTACTGCTCCAGTGCTGTGCCTGCCTGCCTGTCACCATGCACCCTGCCACGACAGTCATGGCCTCACCCTTGGAAAGTGTAAGGCCCCAGTAAACTATTTCTTCTATAAGTTGCTTTGGTCATGGTGTCATATCATGATGATAGAATGAACCAACGAACCTCATGGTTTCTGAGAGGCCTTAACAACACAGGCCAATTCTACTGCAATGGCAGCTTGAGAGAACGGGCACACTACCTAGGTGTGTGGTTTCAAGAACAATTTACAGCTGTGTTGTACAACAGGGAAGCCACCGGCAGCACCACAGAGCTTTTCAACACTTAAAACATAACCAGTACAACTTAAGAATTGAATATTCAGCTTTATTAAACTGTAATTAATTTAGATATAATTTTGTAAGTTGATATCTGACCCTCAGTGGGAAATACTTAATTAAAAGCCACAACCTTGAAAAGTATAAGCTAAGCTCTTTTTTTTTTTTAAATACGTTAGCTGACTGTAGTATAACATTGTAGGAACACTCACATGTTTCCAGAACCTCTCTCCAGGCCTCCATTGCATCCTTTTCAGACCCCCACTCACAGCTGACCCCCAAACCTCAGGAATTAAATCTTTAGACCACTGACAATCTCAAATCCTTTACTACCTGCTTTCCTAAAAACACTTCCCCAGTACAATCTCAGTGGATCTCTCTCCCTGACCTTGTAAGATATTCGGAGGAATCCTTTATTTTCTTGAAGTGAAACTCATAGATAATTTAATGACATACAAAAATTTTTAAAGGAGAAAAAGAAGTTGGGATGCATGTCAAAGATCAATTTATCAGGCCGGAGAACACCATGAAGAGCCAGCAGAGGCTCGTTTACACACTGCCCTTACCACTGTCATTCATACAGCTGTGTGCTTCTCCATCAATCCGGACAGGACGATATGCACTGCAGTCATTAACACTGACTTGACAATGCTAATCAATTCTTAGAAAAGTCCCCAAATTATTCAGTACTACTATCTTTCATTTAGAAGCTTTTACTCCTGGAATCTCCGGGGCATATTGAGATGGTAAGCGAAAACATGTTTAGAACGTCTACGCATGGGTAACGAACACCAGTTCACCTGAAAGACTGTGTGGAAATCAGCGTTCCAGAGTACTGAGTGGTCCTGGATACTGTGACATAATGATCATTCCAGTTCTCCACAAATCAGTAATAACAACCAGACGATGTGTCATCTTTTATGGCCCCTAAGGAGGTCAAGCCACACCTCAGATTCTTCACTTTGAAAATCAGGACCTCAGCCCTGAGTTCTAACTTGACACCTGAGTTGTTTGTGATGAGAACTAATGGCTTGTATTTGTCAGAGGTTTGAATGTCTCCAACTGCATACCGTGACTACCATCAATCCAAAAGTTACTCTGAGGACCAAATGGGCTATCATGTTTGCTTTAGTACCTTGCACGCGTTTAAGCACTCATAAATGGTAATTGCTACTATTGTTGCTAACATCTTATACATACATGATCTGTTTTTTTCAGTCAGGCTGCAAACTTTCTGAAGAAAATCCAAGTGTTCTGGAGAGCTCTGTACACCCAACATAAGCACCCTATAAACTTGAGAGGGCCACAGCTTCTCTCATCTTTCCCTACCCTGTCCTAAGTTTTCGTGAAAATGTTCACAAATGGTAAAGTGAGCGCAATTGTTAATGGGAAAAACTTCTTCTGACATTACTGAAATAATCACTGTCTCATCCTGTCAAGCAAGAAGAGATGATCTGTCAGAAACCTGTATCGATGTACAACAGAACTTGAAAATCTGCAAGCTCATGGTAGTTAATAATTTTAAGCACTGTATGTCAGGATTAAACCTTTCTATGCATGACACGGTGATATCTTTCTACTAATAGAGTCTTTAGGGCTTTCATTATTTTCCCTAAGAGTTTCATCTCTACTTCAAGGTCTATAAAATGGAGCTGCTAATAAATGACCAGGGTACCAGCACTCAGAACTCATGTGGCATT